CAAATAAACAGCTGTTTCTGGTGTGAATAGTGAATAAGTGCTCGCTGCCTGATCCAAAACAAACTCAACTAAAGTAAGATGCCAACGAGATTAGATCCCAATCCTTCCCACATAGCAAACATTGCTACCAAAGACACCAGAACCTGTACCACTGAAAAGTACCTAAAGCCAGTTTAGCGTTCACAAACTACAGGTCGGGCAAACAAATTAGTCTCTCCACATAGCGACTCCTAAATTATGAACAAGCCCAGAATTTGTCACAAATGGACTCACACAGTGTGAAATTAAGAACTCCACTTGAGAGATTGTTTTAAAAAATATTGATTCAAATTTCATTGTGATAAAACAAGGGAGCGTGAGAGCAGCCAGTATCAGTAATCTGTGGGTGTGTGTGAAATACTGGAATTCAACAAGTATTACCACGTTAGACTGTATATGACTCAGACTTTGTACACTCTAAGAGTTTAAGCACTGAATCAATAATTTCACATCGTATCTGGAGATTGTGATGTCAGGACTGAAATATCTCAAAGATTAGTTTGACTGCCTTGACATTTTGCAGATATTCATGGTCCCCAAAGGAGAAAAAAGAAGATCCCGCTGACTTTGGTGAACCTTCTGACTTTTCTGTGCCAGCATGAGGTTCACATTTGGTTTTGAATTACATGTCCTACCAGCGACTGAAAAGGTTCTCATTAAATTTGGAAATAGAAATGGACTGGCATTTAGATAGAGCTTTTCTAGTCTTACTGACCGCTCAAAACATTTGAGACTACAAGCCACATCTGACCACACTTTATTCTCATGCTGTAAGCACTTTATCTACCTCATGTCCAGGGATGATTTAGACTCACCAGTTAGCCTAATGTGCATGTTTTTGTTCTGTGGGAGGAAGCCAGATCAGCCACATGAAAGGCAGAGGAAAAACATGCAAACTCAACACAGAACGGCCTGAGCCAGGGGCTCGAACCAGGACCCTTCTTTCTGTGAGGTAACAGTCGTAACCACTATGGTGGCTGTTGGGTGATAGACAGGAAATGCAAATTTCCAATCAAACTTGACTGCACTTTGCACTAATTAAAAAGAATTATATTATTCTATAGTCACTAGCTAAACCAATCTAGTGCAAATGATTAAATAAATACTAAAGAATGCTAAATAATGGTAATATCAGCAGCAGCAGCAGCAGCTTCTTATCAAGGCTCCTGCCAGTGATTATTTCCATCCATCTTCTTAACCGCTTCTCCCGTTCAGGGTTGTGGGCTGGAATCGATCCCAGATGTTATGGAGGAGATGGAGTGAAACTTGAACAATTTGCCAGGTTATCACAGAGCTAAAACCTACTGATTTTACCATTTTCAATCACTACTTGTAGTATGCAGGACTGTAGGAGGAAGCTGGAGTACCTGGAGAAGGCCCCTGCCAGCTGGAGGGATTCGAACCTAGAACCTTCTTGCTATGAGGCGACAGTGCTAACCACTATGTTGGCTGTTAGAAGATATGATGGATGGATGACTTGTACCAAATCTATAAAATAGTGGGAACTGAGAAGCAGAGAATCAGCCACCATTGGTTTCCACATCTCCAGTGAAGCTGGATTTAACACGCATGTTGGTCTTGACTTGCTTTTCTCACATCTATTAAAGATTTTATTCAGCAGGTGGGCACTGAAGATTAGCATTATGAATTCAGTACCTGGTCAAATGAGACCACAGCCTCCGCTTCTCTTCCTCAGTTATGCCGCTGAATAATGGCGAGAAAAACATGGAAGCTGACCTTTGGAGACAAAATATCATCACTTCATCCTATTAAATTCTTTGAAAACTTGTCACAATTAGCATGCAAATATCTTCATTTAGAAAATTTGTTTTGTAAGGCCATGCTGACCTTTGACCACTAAACTTTCATCAGTTCATTTTTGCATCGGAGTAAATGTTTGTGGCAAATTTGTAAAAGAAAAAAATTCCCCTGAGCTGTTTGAGAGATATCATGTTTACAACAATAGATGGATGTACAGACAGAGAGACGACCTGAAAGCATAATCCATCCTGTCACAGCTATTACTGGTGTGGAAGCATAAGAAGCCAATCAAAATATAGCCTGAGGTGAAGTCTTTGACTTTCGCGTTTTGTCAGAAACCCAAAACATATTAAACGTGCTTTTACATCAGACAAAGATAAGCAGCAAATCCCCACAAAGCTGCAGTGTTTGCTTGATAAATAATTGATAATTCTCTGTCAATCAAAAAATCATTAGAGCTCTACTGTACTCATTAACTTTAAGCTCAAAGCGCTGCTTTGCAGAGAACACATAACTGTAGACTCTGTGCTCTTATTGTTCAGTAGGAACACACAGGGAAAGAAAGCATGTGGACAAATTAACAAACTTCAGAAAAAGTAATCCAAACCCAGAGACATTATCGCACTTGTCATCTCTGCCAGAGTTGTACTGCTGCCATCTTCATGTCTTGCTTTCCTCAGGGGGTTTCCCTCCAACAATCTGGTCTTCAGCAAAGAAACGCATGCTTGGACTGGGTTCAGATGACTGACTTGGCCACTGAAGTACATTCCACGATTTCAACATACAAACTCATTAATTAGATTCATATTTTGGATAATTGTCCTAAAACTGGAGGGGCAGTGAGGAGTAACAGATAGGAGTCAAAACCAGAATGCAGAACCCAAATATTTAGAAAAATCACTCTCAGCTACGAAATGAGCCAGTTAAAGATCTAGTGTTTGCTAGAAACCCTCGACTAACTATAAACACACACACACACACACACACAGCTGGAGGTCTACTGATTCACCACAGGCAACAAAAGATAAAAAAACAGTCACTTTAAAGCTCATAGAAACACAGACCTACTTTCATAATTGAGGTTAGAGGCAGACTTGCTTTAATTCCTGTGAAGGCCCAGGTCACCACATCCATCACTCATACATCGATGCAGCAGGCTTGGCCATTCATCACTCACTCTGGGATTTATTAGTCAAGTCTGGAGCTTGAGGGTGAGAGGCTAAGTGATGAGCATTGTATTAGCCGTTATCAGCACAGAGAGAGAGACCAAAGTTGGTCTGTTTGCTTATCCCCCCCCACACACACACACACACACACACACAATCGGAGTGTTTAATCAGAGCTGGGGCTGCCAGAGCTGGAAGTTAAATATACAGCCATGCACAAACATTCATGTGTCAAATAGTACACACCAAAAAAAGAAGAAGAAAAAAAATCTGATAACACTTAAACACTTTCACACACACAAACATCCTGTGGAAACCCAATCTGTCTGAAACCAGCATAGCACTCAGTGGGCGCCTAACCACCAGAACAGACTTGTTTAGCACGCTGGATGACCAAAGAACACACTTTTTAATACGCACACCCACAATCAACTTGTTGGGAACAGTGCCACTACCAGCCAGCCGAGTTGCCCGGGGGGCACCGCACCATGTCTCATCGTTGAAAGCTAAGGTTGAACGCAGTGGTAGTGCCTGGCGTAGAGCTGTCACTTTGACTCCTGATCCAGGTTATTTGCTCTGAGCGCTAATAGGCCAGGTTCTGCGTTACGGGGTCACTTCAGTCACATGATGGGCATACTTTTTTTTTTTTCCCCTTCATGTGTAACAGCGAGACAAAAAACGCATGCACCACACAGGCTTTTATTACTAGCTGTGCCTTAAAAGCCTTGCTGCTGCGTACAGTGTTTTACATTCAGCTAGAAAACCAAAGGAGTCAAAGTGTGTGTAAGTGTGTATGTGTGTGTGCGTGAGAGAGAGAGATAGTGAGCGAGTCTGTCTGTGTAAGTGCTCTCTATCTTGCCAGCCTCAAATCCAAAGCAATTAGAGAGGCCAGATGGTGGGCTGGACTCACAGTAAATAGCTGTGCATTGACAGAAGAAGCCTGCAACAAAAATGAACTGTGACAAGGAGCCAGGATGACACACAGATACATGACGGCATCAAAGCACCAGGCAAACACTGAGAACTCGCTGCCATCACTGCCATATACCAACTGTCACCATCACAGGCACGTTAAAGAGCAGAATTTGCTTGTGTCAGTTTTTGTTTTGTGGGGAAACAGCAGCGCTTTTTAATGTCCAAACTAAATGAGGCAGGTGCATATGCATGCATCAACACACGCACACAGCATATTTAAGCATAAACCTACACACAGTTAAACTTCTGCATGCCCTCTTGTTGAAATTTGACCAAACCTGTTTGGTTTAGGCAGAGCTCAAACAATGCAGCCTTTGAGAGGCGCTCCATTCACCCAGTTTCAGCTTGGCCTGCACATTCCCCAACTGAAAACACAAGCTGCCTCCCTCCAGGAAAACCACTGAAGCTACATGCCCACATTCCTGCTCTCTACCCTTTTCTCTACGCTTGTACAGCTTTTACATGAGAACTGCTGAAACTCTGCTGAATATAATAGTATTCCTGCACTCTGAAATAGGAATGCATCAGTGCTTTCATTATCTCCAGGCACCGGTGAAACACCTAATAGAAAAATGTGCCCTTTAAACAACTACAGCATCTGCTACCTAGCCATTACTAAGGCAGCAAGTTTACTTCTGCCAGCCAAGTCACATATACAAAACAGAACGGGAGGAGGTGGAGCTCAGGACAATTATAAACCACGAAATGGCATCTCCTGTTCCTGCGCTCATTTTCCCATAAGCCTGTTATCACACTTCTGTTGACACACACTCACAGATTTATCAAAAGTGAAATGAGACAAGCAGCCAGACCAGGAAATGAGAGTGTGGGGAAGGGGAGAAAAAGCAGGGGTGTGTCTGAGATCTGAAGGATGGGTGACAAGAGACCGAGAAGCTACTTCATATCCTGATCAATTAATCTATAAATTTAATCAGTGTGAATCAATGACTGGCGTTTCTATTCAATCTGGGTGCTCAGTCATCCAGCTAACCTCAAGTGTCAAAGAGACATGAAGGTAAGAAAGAGGAGACACATACTACACACAGCAACACCGGAACATTTCAAAAATCAAGAAATCTTTAATAGTAACTGAATACGGAAAAATAATCTAGAAAGACATGACAAAAATGGCAATACCAACTCTAATCTGTATTTTTACTTCTTTTTAAGACCAAAATAAAACTCAAATAAAAAAAAAAAATACAAAAAAAGAAAAGAAAAAAAGAACAACTTTACACAAAGCAGTCAATAATAAAAAGCACATTTTGGGTAAGACTGTTTTGTTGTGTGTTTGTATACAGTTTCACTTGTATAGAAGAAGCACATTTGCCAGTTTTGGCAGCAATCACAGCGCAGCAGTCAAGAATAAAGCACTCATAAAACATAAATTATAAAGCACTGCAAAAATAACAGAAGAGAGGAGAAGCGGTAAACAGGAGAAAATAAATCCTTCATGCGTGCTGTCACTGAGTAATACACAAACATGACACCATAAATTAGTAATTCTTTTTTCTGCTACATATTTATATATTTATACTATGTACACCGGAAGCTTCTCTTTTTTTTCTTTTTTTCTTCATTTTTTACTTAATGCATGTGAGATGGGAGATGTTAAGGCTTTGATTACTCATCAGATGTTTGGAGCCAAAGAAACGATAAGAGCACGTTGCTCTCAGGAAAAAGAAAAAGAAAAAAAAAGGAAAAAGAAAATATTGGATATTCTGACTATCTAACCTTGTGCAAGACCTGGACCAGGTTTGCAGATTTCTCTTAAAAGCATTTTGTCTGACAAGCCTTACTTGGGCACCGAGGTGGGTGGCAATGGGATGTGCTTGTGTGTGTGTGTGTGTGTGTGTGTGTGTGTGTGTCTGTGGAGGCGGTCGCAGTAGCATGTGTGTGTGAAGTAAAAGACAACATTTTGGAGTCAAGTTTAAAAAAAAAAAAAAAAAGAAAAAAAAAGCGACTCTTCTAAAAGCATTCAAAGGGCTCTGGGAGGGGGAGGAGGTCAGCGCAGTGGCATTTTTATGAAAGCGATATTTCCCTCTGCAGAACAAGACCAGAACGGACAATCGCTTTCCTAAAAAGCCTGTGTCTGTGACACTGGGTGAAAGGTGTGCGTCTCCCCCGAATGTGTAGTTGTTTATGTTCTACACAGTCACTGATTCGGGAACAGGCTGGACACTTTGGGGGGCAGAAAGCACTGGAGCAGGGGGACACATCACGGTACAGCTCTTTCCACACTAACAGAACTCTGTATGTGTCCTGACAGAGCCGCTGTGGAAGAGGCAGAGTAAGACGAAGTGTGTTCGTGTGTGTGTGTGCAGCTACGCGAACACATTTGTGTGGGCTTGTGTCAGGAGATGGCAGAGTTGTCAGGTAGAAGGTGTCTTCTGCACAGTTTGGCTGTGGGAGTGAGCATAATGAGACTGACTGAGGGGTGTTTGTGTGTGGGCGAATGCATCTCAGCACTCTGCGAATGTATACGTACAGTATGTGTGTGTGCGCCGAGTGAGTGAGTCTTCTCGAAATGCACAATAATATCTTCGGTTTGCCAGTTTTCCATGGTGACAAAGGGTGGCTACTCAAGTTACAGTCCAATGGCAGCGAGAGATGTCCTAAAGCCGCCGAACACACTGGCACACAGATTTGCACACACACACACACACACACACACGCCGAGCGCTGACTCAACAGACCGTTGCTTGCGTCGTTACGGTCTACCTGATGAATTGAGTATTGTGTGTAAGTTTTTGCATTGTGCAGAGTTTCTGTCAAGGAGAAGGTGAAGCCAATTGTCTGCCAAGAAATGTGTGCTTATAAATGCAGATAAAGTTACCTCGGATTAAAAAAAAAAAAAAAAAACAAATTCAAGCATATGCATCCCCCCCCCCCAAATCAAATTGGCCCTTGGATAAATTAAACTCAGTCAGTTCAGTATGTTATAAACACCCAAACTACTGAGGTATGCGTTAGGTTAAAAATTACATTCTGAATGCCTTCTGAGGTTTAGCCGACCCACAAACGCTTTCCTCTTTACTTCCATAACATCGGAAACACTGGCTCCATCGATCTGATATTTACATTTTCATAAATATCCACATTTTCACAAGAAAAATAAAGATGCTTACGTATATAGTACACAGATAGCTCACACCAAAATGTACATACAACAGTTTTGTCCCTTTGTCAGTATTCTTTTTTTGACCCCCCCTTCCAAAAAAAAAAAAACAAAAACAAAAAAAACAACTAAGTGTTGCACTCATATTTCTTTGTATTGGTGACACATACAAGTGTAAAAATAATACATTTTCATATTGAGTGTGACAAATCAGCTGCATTCGGCAAATTTACTGTACCCCAGGTTGGCAGGAGTTGCATTTAAGTATAAGCTAAGGCCATTAGACGATAATCCTATTGAACACACTGGCTTACAATATGCTAGACAGTGCTCAAACACGAAGCGCCGTCTCTATTTTTGTCATCTGTCTCTCTCTCTCGCCACCTCTCTGAAGGTTAACAGCCATCACAAAGGCAAACAAGGTCTGCCTCGCCCTGTACAGATACTGGGTGAGTGTTTCTCTCTCACATCTGTAGTTCAAGGTTTAAAAAAAAAAACAGCCACGATAAGAAACGCAAGCACAGTCATCTTTGCCCTTAGGAATGGGTCACCCTGCATTTGCCCTTATGACCTGCAGCAGAAGCCAACCCATTTCTTAGAAGGTCCTTTACAGGAGGTCAGGTACAGTCATCGAGACCCCTTTCATTGGATTCCCAGTGGGTCCGAGGACAGCTGATTAGGAAGGGCAGGGAACGCAATGATTAGAGGAGCTTCGGTTCTCTCTACGATTGTCCATCACAGTCGCCCAGTGGCTATGCAGATATGGTGACGCATGCAAATGTACACACACCGAGTCTCAAAGACAGCGGTGTACAATAGCCATGGAGTAATATTTGCCCGAGCAGGCCTCCGGTGGCTCGTTAAAAGGATAAATTAACAGTCAGGAGACAATCGGCCCTGAACCTGCATCATAAAAAGGGCCATTTCGCCACATGTTGCCTGTTAGTCAATATGACTCCCATAGCTTTGCTGCGGATGCAACCTTTTATGTCTCCCGATCAATTCACTACATTTAACAACACTGGCTAATGGAAAGAAATATATGATCTCATTGAAAATCTGTCTAACCTAATGCCATTGCACTCTGGAGGTGGGGCTCTTGTTACATCTCACCATTTACTAAAGCGGGAGAGGCAGCTGGGGTGTCTGTGCAGTGGAGTGAACATGGCCACTCCAGGTGGATTAGTCACTCCTGGCATGTCAGGGCACACCGGGCTGGAGTAGAGTAAGTGGGGTGTCTGACACATCAGGAGCGGTAAAATACTACTTTGCTCTCGGTAGCCCTGACCTCAACACCGCCCTGGATAAATCATAAACTCCCCATAAACACTGGAGAGAAAGGGAGAGAAGGATGCGGAGAGAGAGGAGGAGAGACTGAAGCATGATGGAGAGATGGAGGTGGGAGGGAGAGAGGAATCGCCACGTCATAAACGATAAGTGGTGGCAATCTGTTGGTCCCGGCTAAGCGAGCGACTTCACGGCTCATTACCAATCAAGCTCCTCCTGTCAGGAGCGCTCTGAATAGACGAGGATGAGGAGGAAGAGAAAAGAAGAGACGTGCTCCTTTCTAGTCCTCCTGCCTCCTGAATCCCTCTCCCCATCCTTTGACCCTGTCAGATCAGCTACACCTCATTCCCTCATCTCTTGTTTACCGTCTCTTACCTCCAGGCACAGTGCAAAAGTTTGCTCGTGAACACCTTGTTAGGAACTTGGTTCAAACTCTCAGCAAACTTACTTTGTTAAAACCTAACTGCTTTTCTATTTGCTCGGCACACAAAGACCTCATGTTCTTTAAATTTTTTGCTAAGTTCAAATTGAGAGTGTCTACTGCCTGTGATAGTTGGCAGAGTTGTTTTGAGAAGAAGGCAGAGAGAGCAGAGCGAAGTCACCAGCAGACATAAGCAAATACATTTTTACTGTCTCGAAATTACCTGATGGTTACTGTCTATACTTTCAAACTGACTCATACCGCTGTCCTCCACTTCCCACCAGGTGTCACAGCTCAACACGTTGGCAAAACAAAAAGTTTCCCACAGAAGTAAAGAGATTTGCAGGCATCAGGTAACTGCTTGACAACTTATTCCACGGCTACTGTTTTAGTGAAGATAACAGCGAATATGCAAGTGAGATGCCTCCTCTAAGCTTGTAATCACTTTTCCATGAACCTACTCCCACATTACATTGTTTCTCTTTAGCCTGTCTGTCAGTCAATAGGCAAGGTCCCAGTGATAGCGAGAGCACGAGCAGAAGCGGTGGGAGGCATGTTGTTCTTTTCTCCGTTTGATTTTTACTTCTTAGGGACCACATAACAACAACAACAATCCTTTTACAACATCCCACCACACCCTCTTTTTCATTCTGTCCACTGTGATTAATGATAGACTATAGTTAAAATTGATTTTTTTGTTTTTCAAAAATAAAAGTGGTATGATTTTCTTTTCACCATCAAACAGGGACAAGACCCCACCGCCACAAAATCCTCAGGAGGAATTCTCCAGCTCGCCTTTTCGCCTCCTCCTCCTCCCCTTCCTCCAATTCCTCCTCCTCTATACGTAAACTGCAGTCCGTGAGATGACCGAGCCATCACGCTGGGACTCCATGTCATCATCGTATTCTCCAATCATCTCCTGATCGCGAATTGAGCGAGGCAAATGGATGGGGCCACCAGGATTGTAGTGATCATAGTTCTCTGCTTCGTCAAGCTCGTCAAACTTCCTCTTCTCCGCGTCGTCCAACTCGTTGCTTAGCAGGATGTCTTGGGCAGTGGGTGTGGTGCTAACCACTTCAGGGTGGCCTCCCATGGTAATCAGCTGGTGGTTGTTTTTCTCTCCAAGGGCCTGAATGGGGGAGCTCTCGCTGTAAACGTAGATGGGGCCGTTGTTGTTGCCGCCGCCGTTTCCCGCACCTCCATTTGTGCCGTTCTTGCTCGCTTTCTTGCCGCCCCCGAATATGCGCGTCTTCATGTCACTGCCGCCATTGGCGCGGTAACCCTGCTGCTGCCTGCGCCTACGGGTGACGAGCACGGCGATGAGAGCGGCAACCAAAAGGAGGGCCAGCAGGGAGCCAATCACAGCTCCCGCCACCACGCCAGCATTGGATGGGTTCTTTGGGGGCTCTGTAGGAGGGAGGCAGGGAGGGAGAAAAACAGGGAAGAAAAAGGATATGGTTGAGAAAGGGTAGAAAGAAAGAAAAAAAAAAAAAAAAAAGGTTCGACCAGTGGAGAGGAAGACAAAAAAATTAAGACAGCCAAAAAAAAGTTTTGGTTTTTTTTGTTTGGTTTTTTTAAAAAAAAGAGCAAGATGGCAAGAAAAAGGTTGGATGATGTCAGTGGTGCTGGTCTGAAATGTATGCAGTCAAGTGTGTAAGAGTGCTGAGGTGTCAGTATAGTCAAGTGTGTGTGTGTGTGTGCACGACGAGCATCCTTCTACTTTGACATTTCCTCCTCTCCCTCAGAGCTGCTGCTGTCCCCAGTCCCACAGCTACGTCACAACAACGTCTCAACCACCCTCCCCCCTGTGTTGCCCTTCGATAGCCAGGGTCTTTCCATAGACCACCATCAAAAGGCAAGGCAGGGGGTTAAAAAAAAATGTGCAACACACACACACACGCACGCACACACACTTTTATTAAAGAGCATGGATCAGTGTGTGCAGAGCAGAACAGGTGGAGGCCGTGCAGAGGAGGATAATGATGAATGGAGGAGGAAGGAAGGGTGGAAATTAGATGAGGAGGAGAAGGTGGTGGTGGTGGAGGAGGAGAAGGTGGTACTGGAGGAGGAGGCGGCGGATTGAGTGAGTGACAAAGCGACACAGCGGAATGACAAGTCTTCCTGGAAGCCGTGTATGAGCGCGGGCACAGACTGCTGCCCCTCTCCACTTCTGTACGCCACAGGCACTGGTTGAGTGCGCATCAGTCTTATATGTGGGTCCATTTTTCCTCTGGCATTACACATACACAAGAAAAATAAGTCACTTTAGTTCATTTTAATATTGACAAAGGCTTTGTTAGAGTGCAAACTAGCTCAGGAGGCTATGACTGAAACTAGGGCTCTGCAATCAAACACACAGCATCCCTGTTTGTGCGTCTTTGTACAAAAAAACTCCAGGGATAAGCAGTGCTGTCTAAATCAGGGTTGTAAAGAGGTCCCATGTGACTTGTCAGTACTCTTTTTCTGAACTTGTACTTTCTCCTCCCCTGATATTCCCCTTCAGTAATACTAGTGCTGTATTTTAAAGCAGGTATTTCAACGGCAACAAATTCAATTGCTTCTGCATGAAAGTCAGCTAACAGTTCAGACTGGGGCTGTGTATTAAATGAAATGCTTCCATTTGTCGTGTCAATAAAAATGCACGAGTCAGTGCAGATATCAAAGCTATTCTAATGTTCCAGTTCAGACTTCATACAGTTATAAAGGAACGTGACTAAATGAAAACATTAAATTCAGGAAGTTCTAAAATCTTTTAGCTGATTGTGTCACGGGCACAGACTAGCCTAGACTAGTAACACTATTAACACAAGCAGGATGTTGCTGCTTTGTACGGGCTTCGGGGGTCATGAGTTCAGGGCTCTAAGTGCTTTCAGGGACTCTGACAACTCCCCACAAACACAACCTGTGACCGTTTTCCCATGTGCTGCAGTGTCATCTCTGACTCAGTGGGCAGCGAGAATAAAACCAGAATAATGTTTGCATTCGCTGTACGCCAAAGCTTTGGATAGAAGTGTTCTACAAACGTTAAAGGGAATATGCCGACGACATAACGAGTGGTATAACTCAGACAGGAATAACAAATTAGAAAGACAGCTTAGACTTTATTCCGTAAGCTGTTCCTGCAGCATGCCTTCTTGGAAGATATAAAAGTAAGCCTGCTTGAAGTAGGAACGGAAAATGATGTCTCAATATACATTATTCCTACTTTTACAGGGTTCAAAGCATTCACGTTCATGTCTCCGATTTCTTATTTATTGTACTCATTACTTCGTGATGCCTCAGAATGAAATTAAAGGCTTTCATGTTGCTCTTTCTGCAACAATGCGCTTTGTTGAAACATGATGTAATGGAATATAGGCTGTTTGTTATCTGTCACTCCAAAGTGCTACCGCTCCACTCAGGTTTGAGCGCATTAACTACAGAATAAAACCAAATAAATTGTGGTGAGAAAATGTATTTTTTAATTTCAGACTCTGGCAGAAAGTGATCAAGAGCCCTCGGTTAAGCCGAACATCCTCTCTTGCCGCTCTTGCTTTCCTTTCCACACTCTGCACTTTCACCAGCCGCGCCAGAGGATTAACCGGTAGACGCTGCCGTTGAAATCCCTGCCTAAATTCGAAAGTAGCAAATCAGCTCGATTCTTATTGTCGGTTTCATTTGAAATCCAACAGAAGCCGGCCTCTCTTGTTAACTGTACAGAGAGCTGACAGTATTACTCGTGTAACACTGATTCGTGTCAAAAGAGAGAATGGTAGTCTACTGCTGTCTACACCTGTGCTTCACTCTTTTCTTCCTCTCCTCAGTTCTGCTACCATTTTCTCCATCTCTGCCTCCACTTCACTAGCTGTCTCCTGCACACGCTCCTTCAGCCCTCCAAATCCATTTTCCCTGTCCAATTTGCGTTTGTATTTCTGTCATGTGTTACTTCTCTGTGCTCTCCTCCTCTGTGCTTCACTTTCAACACATGCCTAGGGAAAGAATTAATAATGTGGGTACATTTTTCTTTCCTTTCGTACATCTTCTCACACTACTTTCCCCTTGCACACAGATCCCCCTTGCACACAGATCCCCCCCCCCTCTCTCTCTCTCTCCTTCACACACACACACACACACACACACACACACACACACACACACGAGAGTGAGAGCTAGCCCTCGGTGTCCACTTGTAACAGGAACACAAGAAATGCATTATCACCTCCGACTCTGTGGAGCTCCACCACATGCTACGTGGTGAAAATCTCAGTGCCAAGTTTGGGCCCGATGCTGCCACACACTGCTGTCACATCAAAGGGAATTACGCTGAAAATCAAATGCAAATTCTCTCTGAATTCTACTCATCTAATTATATTTAATGCGTAACTCAAGTCAGTTCTTAATAGTATTTTTTTTTTAAAAGTCTGCGCTGGTAAATCCTTTTGTGGATAATACATCATGTTTTATTCTACCCTTCTGGAGACAACATTTAAAAGATTCACAAAAAGAGATGTAAAGGAGCCATCACAGACTCCAAGTGCAGACTCAGTCACAACCTAACAAAGCACCAGTGGAATTTGAGTGAGTGACGAGAGGACACCTCAAAGACATGCTGACGAATGAACCAAATGAAAAACTGCAATATGCATGCTGTGTAGATAATGTGGGGAGAAAACCAAACATGCAGTATGACCCCCCCCCAAAAAAAAACCTCACACACACAGAGACACACAACATACTGTGGAAGCCAAAAAAACAGCATGGTCCTTATGAAGTCATGTCCAACACAACTGTACGCTCCAAGTGACCGCGAGTAATGAGAGAGATGGAGCAGAAGTAACGTTTGCTGCAGCCGTCCAAAAAACATGCATGGTCTCATTCACATACATACACACGTGCTCCATGGTCATCACTGCTCGGATGTTGTGCTGGGCTGCACCTAGAGCATCCCTTAGTAGTATTCTCTGTCAGTATGTTAAGTTATTGAACACAGCTGAGTGTGTCTGTGCGAGTGTGTGTCTCCAGAAATGTGCGTTTGTGTGTGCTAATTAGGGGTGGGAAGGGGGCCAGTTGCAGGCTGGAGGGAGACTTGGCTCCATCAGACCTGTTCTCTGGCTGTTTTCGCATGGCCGGAGACACACAACGACAGACGCAGACAGATACAGGCATACACACACAGACACACTCACACACTCTACCCCACGGAGGAAAATAGCCAAGCCCCTTGCCCTTGAACTGTCTCCTTGGATGAGTCTGAAAATGGGAAAAACGCACCGAATTGGGAGGAAATCTCTTTTCCGTTTAACTGAAGAGCCCTTCAGACCATGTGGGGGATTCAATCTAGAGCATTTAACTTTTTTGAGGTTCAGCTGAGCCACCCCTTTAAGGAATGATGAGGGAAAAAAACCAAGAAAAAAAAAATGGATGGAATCTGGGTTAGCCACACAAGAACCCCCCCTGAGAGGAGCCCAGAACGGAGGGATGGAGGGAGGGATGGAGACTACTAAGCTGTGATTAAGGAAGAGCTACTGGTATTTAAGAGTTAAGCTTAGAGAGAGAAAGATAGCACAAGCATGAGATGGAGAGAAGGAAAATGCTGGGGGCAGGAGTCTCTTTTCTGAGCAAGAAGATCAGCGGCAGACTTGCGGAGGCTGAAAGACAACCTGAGAGAGATAAGGAGGATGAGGAGAGAGCATATGCTAACTGAGTGGATGAGAGATGCAATGAAAGAGCAAACTGCAGTGAAATAGATGGCATCGGAGAGATAAATCGAAAGAAATGCAAGAAGAGAGAAGGCTAGGATGTGTTTGCGTGCCTGTGTGACTAAGCAGCAGGATCGAAGATGAGAGGAGGAGAGGCAAGGAGAAGAGAGGACATCCATCCCTCTTGCTGCCTCCATGTGCACAGGACAAGACCGAGGGCAGAAGGCGCGAGTAAGCACACAGACACTAGTGTGTAAATTTGTGTGTGTCATGCAGCTGTGGGGTAAAGGGGAGTGGGGGGACCTGCTATGTAGCAGGTGCTGGCCATTTCACGCCTGTCGGCCCCTCTTAGCCCCGTTTGTCTACACACGTTCACATTAGCATCCACAGGTCTGAACTGCAATCCCATCTGAAGGCATTACACATCTTTCTTAGACTCCTTAATTTCTCTTTAATAGTACTGACCGTCTTTCTTTATGTGCACTTCTCTCCCTTTTTGCTATCTAGAAACTTCTTTTCCTTTGACACTCGCTTGTTGGTTTAGTCACCTATTAAGTGTTGGCAATTTTAGCTCGCGTCTTATCCTCCTTCTGTGCCAATGAGTAAGAGAAGAGTAGGATGGAAGGAGGAGGTGGTCGGTAGCAAGAGAATAAGACCAACTGTGGGAAGTTCAACGCGGGTAAGGAACAAGCAGACCCGAAAGAAAATGAAAGAAGAGAAAGAGGGAAGTGGGATGAAGAATGGGGGAGGAGTGAAAATGTAGGATAAAAGACAGAGCAGGAGAGGAACGGATGGTGGAATTGAGAAGAGAAGCAGCCAGGAGCTGAAGCAGCAAAGGGTGACTGATCCGCTCTGAGAGGCTTGGAGACGGACAGAAACACACGCTACGCTGAGAGATAGCGGAGGCCAATAGTGGTGGAGATAGGATGCAGTAGCACATGATTCCCATGAGTTTTAAATGCTGTCAGCATCGCTTTCTCTCTCTCCATTCCTCGTGCCCTTACTCTCTGCTTCTTTGACTGAGGATTGCATGCTGGCACTGATTTATCTTGGTGTGGCATGTTCCCCATCTTTGTAGTCTAAAAGCAGCAGCCTCTTTCTCCCTCTGCTCGCTGGATCTTTGTATCTCACTTGCTTGTGTCTTGTAATACACAGCAGGAGTTGGTGACATCCTTTTGTGCTACAGAAGCCATTTACACTACCTACTGTATGCAGCAGTACAGAATGGCCCCAGAGGAGTGGTGGTGACGCATGCTGTGGCACCATAAGGAGCCAAGGGACTTGACGAAAGATGTAGGGGGGAGTGAGAGAGAAACAAAAATGAAATCGGGAGAGACGGAGCAAGAGGACTAGAAGAAGCAAAAAAAAAAAAAAATGTTGAAATGAGGCCATGGAGGAGCTGGGTGGCTCTTAAGATGTAGTCACTCTCTGCCCATCATGGAAAAGGTTTACCCCGATGTCAGCAGAAAATCACTTCCGGCTAAGTGCAGGCTGAAGAGTGAAGGAGGATGTATTTTGTATGAGGTGAAATATAGAAGTGAACACTGTTGAAAGGGGTGGCTAAAACTCTCAAACAGCAGCGATTGGACTGTATGACCTGCTCTGGAAGGTTCTCTCCAAGTGCTTACACCTGAATACATGCATGCATTTCACAACCTGCAAACATGTACCCACACACACCCAAAGTATTTTAGTTCATGCATCACTGCAGCCATACTGCAGACTATTCTAAAACCCACTATATTACAAAGTGAACCGTATCATTTTGAGTCAAATGTGTCACTTTATGTGTTGTTTGCTTTGCGTTAGTGTTTCCTGTTGTTACTGATGGCACAGAGTATGGCTGAGAAGCAGTGGATTTTAACGGCGACAAAGAAAAAAAAAAAGAATAAGAAAAAGTAGAAGTGAAAATATCTATGGGAACCATCTAGTTCGTGTGCAGCTCTCACAATATTGAACTACCATGAAAAACCTTCAGGGAAAAAAAAAATAAAATAAAAAATGCAAATGCCAAAAGATGTACTAAGCAGCTGACAGACCTTGGGTATTGATAAAGCATGGAAACTTTGATAATAGAGTTTATTAAGCGCATGCAAAGATACACAAAAAACTAACACGCACTCTTAAAAGCAGAGAGGGGAAGGGTTTTATGACGTGAAGAACAACAACAAGAAAGAAAAAAAAAAAACACAAAAGGAATGCACATGCAAGCTCTGATCGCTCAGATTCCCTCCCACACACACACACGCGCACTCACTCACACAGACACGCACCATGGACTGAGCAGCTGGACCCCTTAGCCCTACACTAAACACCCAAGTTAGCCCTCAGCACAGAAAATGTGTCCGTTTGTGTGTGTGAATATGTGACATGTGAGGTGCATGTAAGGTGCATCCCTAGGGAAGACATGAGCGCAGAGGACACCAGGAAATGTGTAGCCTGTGTGATAAAAGTGCACTTTGTTCCAGTTCATCGGTTCAGATATAAATGTTTTTATGTACAAGCTAAGGGAAACGTTTACATGATGAATGAGACCCAAGTGAGTCCCAAGAGTGGGCTTTCTCACTTTACTTATGAAATGTTCACTGCTTTATTGATGCCTTTACTGTGTACAATTTATCAGCGTGCTGGGGCATTTGCAAGTTGCGCAAATTACCCTTCGTATTGGTTTTAATCCATTTAGAGCCACAGAAGGGTTGACTTGCAGTGACAGGAACAATCATAATGTTAATTCATTATGTCACAGGGAAGTGCACAAATGAGATTGTTTCCACTGAGAAACATCACACGATGCTGAAATATGATATTTAAAATGTTATCTAACTGAAATTGTAAAGGCCACTTAAGCAGGTGCCTAATTTTAGCATGCTGCGCTGATCTGTGACACTTAAACTCACCTCTGACCAGGATCCCAAACTGTTCTTTGGTCGTCCCGATTTGGTTGTTGACCTCACAGAAAAAAGTGGTGTTGACAGACTCGTCCACATTCTGTACCTTGAGCACATTTTCACTGACCTGCACTGCAGGTGGAAACTCTCCTGTCGTCCTAGAGGGACAAAAGTGCATATCGGTATGAGAAAGAAGAGAACAGGAAAAGAAAAATAGGACATTTGACACTGGGGACAGAGAGTCGGACATTTACAGAAACGTGCTGCGTTGTACTGTTTCGTCATATTAAGCTAATCTTGATCAGCAGCACAAAACCAATCAGTTTGCCACCCTTCCCTAAAAGGCAATCCATTATAACACACTGCTGGAGATACAATGGGGACAGCAGGAAAATCAGTGTTGCTGGATCCAATCCCAAAATCTCATTTCTTCTATTTTAAACTTCCAGACTTTTTTTTTTCCCAGATTTTGTCACAGTTATGTTAATAGCTGATAATACAGAAAATGGAGACAGACGCACACTGTGTTTCTCATTATGCAAGGGTTAAATCTCAAGTCACAGAGTCCATTATGACAAATTATTCAACTATCTCCATAATCAGAGCACAGTTCTGTAGTTGCAATAATAAAAGCGCTGATTATAGCTCTGTGAGGACTGTGAAGCTGGTGATGAAGGGTAAGAAAGGGAAAATGTGACTAAAGAAAAATGGGAGAGACGGACAAAGAGATAAGACAATATAGATTTAAGGATGTGCCAATACTCACGACTTCCACTGGATAGTGGTTGGAGGGGGGTTTGCATTAGCCTTGCAGGTGAGCGCCACATTTGTGCGGCCGATGTACCAGTTGTTGTCATAACCTTCTATGGTTACCTGGGGAGCAACTGGGGGAAGAAAGAATGAATGGGAGGAGGAAATTTAATTAATTAATTTAAAAATAAAGAAAAAAACAATACAATGAGCTCAATTAATCGGGTTAGAATAATTGCTGATGGATGTATGTGCACTTGTGAGAGGTCTTACACTGAACTGCTAAATTCATCCTGAAGCTCTCTGGTTTGACCAGGGTCCTGTGTGATACGACACAGGTAATTTCTTTCCCGTTGTCGTTTGGCGTTGGGACCATGATGTACTCGCTGATCACCGTCAACGTGTTGTCAGTCCCCGGCTGCTGCTTCGTTGTGTAATTGCCATTGGCTGTAGTCACCCAGGAGATCTCGGCAGCGGGTTGGCCATTTGCTGACTTACAGCTTGCCACAGTGATTGGCTTAGTGCCAGCAACCACTGTTACAGGGGAGGCCGAGTTCTCGGGTTTAGCTGATGGATGGATGAACGACATGACGCAAGGGTGGAGAGTGGAGACAGGGGGAGACACAGAGTGGCAGAGAGAAGATTAAAGGATGTAGAGATAGATAAAATGGAAATAACACAGCTGAGGGAAAAGATATTGTGCACATTTATAAACAATCTGAGACACCAGCCGGGCAAAAGCAAATCTAAAACCCGATCTGAATGCGTCCTCTGTTGCCCTGCTCAGCCTCTCTCTGCACAGTAAACATTGAAGTAGGATCAAATATCTATTATGTTTATTTTATGACAGGATATGTATTCTTACCATGGAGGAGTTGTCAGTGCACTTTACTTTTTTCAAGCTTTTTGGAAATTAGTTTCTAAATGTATAACTTGTTTGTGAAATTTTACCAGCTCTGAGTAACTCAATACATGAAATTAGAGCTACGAGAATGTCATTTTCAACTCTTCACACATTTAAAATCGACGTGACCACATGGAATTGTCTGTTGTTGCCAATTCTCTACCACAGAATCATGTATACCTGCAGACAAACACAATAAATAACTATGTTGCTTATTTATCATTTGTTTTGTCCATAATACAGGTATGGGCAGAACTCCTTTGTTTTGTGAATATGTGTAAAGTGGCCCTAAGGGGTCAAACGGACTGCAGCTTAAGAAAACACCAGAAATGATGCAAAAGTAAACAAAATTATAAAAAAAAAAAATTTAAAAAATAAAAAAAATCTCACAAAACATAAAGCAAGTGTTTCGGGGGGAGGGGGGTTCATGACGGACCAACTGCGGGAATGACATAAATCAAAACATGCAAAGGATTTTTCTGAGACACCCTGAAAAGAAGCGAAGTATTCATCGGTGATGTGACGGACAAAAGGATGGAAGGTAACGTGTTTTAATTATACTGAGTCATTTAATACTGTACATATGTTTGCTATTAGCGGTTTACTGTTAGCATGTTACTTCTGCAGCTATTCCATCACGTTCCATGTTTTTATTCAAATTCCATTGTGTTTTGTAGCTTGTGCATGTTTCCATTTGCGTTTTTTTTTTTAAGTTGCATGTGGCCCATCATGCATGTGGGCATATAAGGAAGTTAGATTTGTAGTAGCGCTTATGGATATTTTCTAAAATGCAAACGTTCTGGCGACCAGCCCATGCCATACCTTGCCCTACTACATCTGGAAAATGCTCCAGACCACCCCCCATTGCCCTGAAGTACACTGAAAATGGATGGATGGATGTTCTATCATACTTTACTGTTTTATGGTTTTTCCATTATGCTTACAGATAAGTTTCCCCTTTGCTTTCTTAATCTCCAAGCTTTTATAACAAAGCTGTGACACCATGAGTGCAATGGGTTCCCACACTGATTACAAGTCATGTTAACATATAGCCACATTAAAAGCAATTCTCTCGTCATTGTTAAAAACAAAAGCTATCTCATGATATACATCAAGATTGAGTCACTGCTCAGGACCGTACTGAGATCAATTCCTTTCATCAAGGAAGCCAATCTCATTTCTAATAGTACTACTACTACATTAATCTAAGTCAGGTTTACTTCTTTTAAACAATTTATCCCACTTTTCTGTATAAATGTCTTGCTGTATAGCCTTTTGTTAAGTCTCACAGGGGAAAAATAGAAAGCATCACCAGCACCGATCCTCCAAGCATCAGTGATAACAGTGAGGTGAGGTATCTGTGTCGAGCCCAAAGGATACTAAATGAGAACACGTACCCCAGCCACAGCCTGTTCACCCTGCTTTCCATCTGGCAAGCGATACAGACACATTTGTTTCCCGTTTCTTTCCTTAGGCTGCAAGACTAAATTCTGAATTCATCCTCTGCACTTCAAGTCAAATAATAGACTTTATTTTTACGACTTACTGTCATAAGAACATTGAATTTTGCTCTAGTAGTCGTGCAATAAGAATGAATTCTAAATTTAAGCACAAATTCCTCCCTACTGAGAAGACATTAAGATCTTTTATTTGTATTAAGATAAATGTGTTTACTTTTAGTCTGCTCACACTAGTTTTGAGAAAAGTTTTTTTTAAGACTAGAAATGTGGCTTTTCTAAAAGCTTGATTTAGAAATTGTCGAATTGAAACTCTTCTGCTGACAGATCATTTCGTTTACTTTAAGTAATCTTTTCCCCATTTTATTCCTTTTTTTGGTTATTGATAGCTTGAGTTTTTTGGAGTGTGTACACTCAATCTTTTGCTCCCAAGAGTTAACATTGATAAACAATTACCAGCACCAGTGCAAACACATCCAAACCCTAAATCTACTGTCACTCTCCCTCCAAACCTTAAATCCATCTGTCCCCTCTCTATTCCTATCACACACCACTGATGCACAATTTCCCTGACCGGCCAAATGCATTTCCATATACAATTTCTACATCACTACATGATCCGAGTTATCCTCACCTCCATCTTCTCTACCCTCTTCTTAATTGCCCTCTCTGATACTAGTGTGGGATCAGAGGAAAGCAGGCAGGACAGGAGCTGACAGCAGGCATGACAAGTAGCTAGATCAATATACTGCCTAGGGGGAAGCATGGGGGCATGATGCTTTGGAGAGAGGGGAGCAGGGCAGAGGCACTGGTGCTGGGCCAAAGTTAGACCAATGGTTCCATTGCATTAACAAAACACAATTGATCTGACAATACCACTTATAATAGCAATTAAGCCCAGCTGCATATGCTTTTAACCTATATACTACCTTTGGGGGAAGGTTTGAGCTGGAGGAAAGCAGACAGAGTAAGAGGGAAGATCCTTTGCATTCATACAGTTTGCAAGTTACATATGCATGTAGGGCTGTGCGATATGACCAAAATCTCATATCCCGATATAAGAATTCTATCTCCAATAACGATATAAGCTGTGCGTCATGTAGCTGGAGTCCAGTGTTTTAACCGATCTATGAAACGATACATTTTTAGACATAAGTTGTAAAGGCCGCCGTTTTCTTTGTGAGTATTTATTACACAGCATGCTGCGGGGAAAAGCCTGTTCTAACGTTTGAGTCTAAGGTTTATTTTTTAGCACCTGGCGGCTCTTTTTTACTTCTCATCCGTAAATAATCTGCTCTGTCACGTGATTCAGTTTATTTTGAAAAGTCTCAACAGGATCTTGAGCTTTATTGTGAAAGGTTTATGTGGAACATAAACAAGCGGATGGTTTTACCGTCGTTGTTGCTAACCACAACGCATAAAAACAGGCGCTTGTCCGTCTGTAGTGTGGTTATATAAAATATAAGAGAAAGAGAGAACTTTAAGAAATTAATATAGCCACTACAGTGACCATCAAAACGATGAAAAAAATATTGCCGTAAAGAGTTTATTTTGCGACAGCACGAAACAAACGATAGCGTAAAATGAAACGATAGACGTTTTTATATCGTCATCTGATATATATCGTTAAATCGAACAGCCATATATACATGGGTTCCCTACAAACAGATGAGCGACAAATTTAAGGGAAAGAACAACACACTGGCTTTAATTTGCCTTGCAAAGACACAATGAGTCTCTAGAAACTTTGGCAAAACATGAAAGTAGGTTTTTGGTTGGAAAAGCCAATTTAACTGACAGTGAAACACAGTTGGGCAATTCCACTTTTTATAAATGGCTTGACTACTCAATTAATTCATGGTGTGAAAGTCTGTGAAAAAACCTCAAGCTTCAAATCTTTCAGAGGAAATGGTGCTGGGTTCCTGTGCACCTGACGAAAAGCCGCTGGGGGAAGGTTTGAAAAATGCTTGTTGTTGAGTGGTATCCTCGTGTAATACATTTAACAGGAAACATTCAAGTCCTTGGGAGACAAAAAGCTGCAATGGCTTTGAACCCAGGAGTGCATGTTGGCAAACAGCAACGAATGCAACAAGCTGGGAAGTTACCCCTTGACAAATGGAGCTGTAAAAGCCACGACTCAGCGTGATGCACAACACACAGGGTTCAGGATCTCTTAAAAATGAGTTTGTAGGGTTTCAGGAAGTCAATCCCAGAGTAGAGTAGCGCTGGTGTTGCAGATGTTTAACACTCGTGTTCACGCTAGAAGCTTTTTAGGTTCAGCAGTGCAAGAAATTTAACTAAAGATTAAAAAAAAAAAAGCAAAAAAAAAAAATCTTGGATAAAGAAATCATTTTTGTAGTTTTGCCTCCGTGCACCACAGAGAGGTTTTAAAAATCAAACAATCAAGATGTGATTGAAGTGCAGACTTTCAGCTTTAATTCAAGGGGTTTCACAAAAGTATTGCAATGACTGTTTATGAACTAAAGACACTGTTATGCCCAGCTCCCATTTTCAGAGGATGAAAAAATAAATAATAGGACATTTTAAACATGGGGATTGCTTCATAATATGATGAAAAGCTTTCGTAGTCAATGACTGCCCCAGGTCTAGCGCTCATTAGAGTTTTATACTTAACTAAAAAGCTGCTCTGAGCTCAGGTGACTGACTTAGCTATTGAAGAAAATCCCATTTCCTTGCCTTGAGAAACTCTTAGGTTGCTTTTACAGTACGCTTTGGGGCATTATCCATTTGGATTGTGAAGCGCTGTCTGATCAGTTTTGCAGCGTTTGGATGAATATGAGCAGAGAGTATAGCCCCGTACTCTTCACAGTTTCTGCCATAATATTTTCTCCACTATGTTGAACAGATAATATGGTATCAGATCACAAGTTGTTTCTCTCCTCCTCTGCACTTTTCTCTTCCTATCATTTTAGCACAACTTCATCTTGGTTTTATTCTCACAAATAATCTTTTCAGGTCTGTGTTGGCTCTTTTTCTGACCAAGTCTAATCTGTTCTTCTTGTCTAAAGTGTAACCAGTGGTTTGCCCATTTCTGTAAACTCAGTATTTTCATTTATAAAGAGATTTTTGCGCTTCACAGCACGCACACACAAAAAGACAATGATATACCAACCTGCTTTAGAATGTTCTTGGTGAAATGTCGTGTTGTGTTTAAGGTCTTTGGGCCCTTTTTCATTTTCAGAGCTGGCCAGTGAACCCATTCTTGTTAAGAATGTACCAGAGATGTGATTTGACCACTTCTAAAGTTTTAAAAATGTCTGTTACTCTTACTAGTTTTATTAGAGGTGGTTGGAGGTGAAAGTCTGCACTTTAACAACATGTTGGTTATTCGATTAAAATACTGTGGTGGTGTACACAGGCAAAACTACAGTACAAGAAAATTAGAGACCAAACTGTACCTGGACACTTGGCTAGGTAAAATTATAATTGCAATAACAATAATCATCTTCTGGCACATCAAACACCATCCTTTTTGTATAATTTTAAATAAAATTGGCATTCTTCAAGAAATTACCTGAAATTCCAACTGGATGTTATTCATGAAGTCTCAAGAGTAAAGATGAAAGCATGAGATGGGAAAAATCCCTCTTTCTTATTAAATTCTAACAGATCTGTTTGCTTCACAAGCCACATGTCCAATTTTTTAAGTGGTTCAGAGGTTCAGCTTCTTGGAGATAAAGCATTCATGCCTCTGTGCCATTAAGCACTGAGGCTTTTTCCTTGATTCATCACATCTTTTCTTAAGCTTAGTGCGTAGAGTACATTAGTGACCTACCTAGCATGACCAGCTGGGTGGTGCCACGGACATTTCCGCCAGGGTAGGTAGCAAATTCGCAGGCATACTTCCCCTCATCAGTCATCCTAACATCAGTAATCTGGATAGAAGGGCTGTCCACCTTTGGAGGACTGGGCACGAAGCTGACTCTGCCTTTCACAGGTGAGTTAGGATAGCTGGGCTCATTCCCGGGGAGAAACACAGCTATGTTGACTGGGTCTTGGGTTGGCTCTGGCACGTACATCCATGTGACCTATGATGGCACACACCGAGAGGGTCAGTGGACGGGAAGCATAGAGAGACAATGAAAAACAGCAGACCTCATTCATCATGGCATTGATAAGCGACACCGTGACAGCGTTTTAAGATATCCACATTTTAATGTAAACTCCACAGGGTTGCGTACACGGCATCACAATTAAGTGGGGAGCAGGTATGAATATGGATGCGAGTTTTTCAGGAGAAGTACTCTCTCGACTGTTCTTAGCAGAACCATGCAGAGCTGTGCACTTCCAGCTTCATTGAAATGCAGCTAAGAAATGCACCCATTACCATATTCAATCCCCTAAAGCAAAATGTAGCTTAGCATTGTTTGTTTGGAGTAATAAAACATTAAGCCTAAATGTGACAAAAACCTATTGCTGGCCTCTGGATTATTTCTGTGAGCCATGATTTGTTAGATTAAGGTGCAATGTGGCAAATAAACAAGGCACATAGAGCCATATTCTGATTTTTCTTGGTTAATTTTATTGAAGAGAATTGCTTTTTCCACCTCAGACACAGTTTTACTGACCCGCAGAATCAAATCAGTGAGTAAATGACTACTGTATTTACAGGAAAATTGTCATAATTTGAGTTAAATATCAAATCCACTTCAAGTCGGATACCTGCTGGCTTCAAGTGTAAAAGCAAATTGTAACTGCAGTCCCAATTTCACTGAATTGTATTGTGTCAAGTCAGCACAATGAGCTCCAGTTTTGGGATGACACAGACATTTTTATTTGAATTTCACACAACAAATCTAGTTTGCAGTTGAGAGAGTATAGTGGTGCAAAGAGGTAATCAAATACTAACCAAGGGGAAACACAGATGCATCATGGGATTGTATATCTTACCATTGAAAGCTGTACCCCAGTGGGATCAGCGAAGGCACAGCGCAGGTTGACTGTCTGGCCAGGATACGATGTCACCTCTTGGTCTACTTTTACACGCTGACCTGAAGCTCCTGAACAAAACAAAGACAGAGACAAAAAAAAAGCATTACTCTCAATGTTTCCCTTTAAACACAAACTACAGGAGAAAGCAAAGAAAAGGAACAGTCTTGGTACAAAGCAAAGATAAATGAGGACACTATGGAAGTGTGTGTGATACACAGGACAGCATTACTGAACTCCGGCAAGTAGGCCAAGAGTCTGGTACCTCTCCATGACAGTGCGTGCGTGGACAGATTGGTGGTGGGGGGAAGCGAAGTTGTGTGTTGGGGGAGAGAGAAAAAAAGAAAAGGAGGAGGAGGAAAGCCAGTTCTTTTTTACCCATAGGTCATAAATCATGTGGATGGGTTATGCTTTTCTATAGCCTGCCATTTTCTGTGCCGACACATTCCTGTGTAACAGCAAAGAGTCAAAATAAATATGCTTTTCTTAGTGCGTTTTGTCAGTGGGTGTGTGAGAAACAGAACGAGCGAAGGAGCTTTAGAACGACAATCTGTGCAAGTGTGTGTGTGTCCGTCTCTGTGTGTGTAATCCAGGTTTCTGTGAAAAATGTAATTACTTGTATGAGTAAGCGCGCATTAGTGTATGTCAGCAAGATGGCACCTGTTTTAAGTAAGAGTGGATTACCGGCGGATACACAACTTCAAATGTCTGCAGCCAGGCCTACATTTCCATACGAGTGTGTGCGCTCGCAGTGTGTTTACCGGGAAGCTACAGACACAGACACACATAGAATGAGCAAAACACAATTTCCCCTAAAGACAAACAATTACTTGAAAAACTAGTTCCACTAGTTTGTGCTGAGCTCAAGCTGTTGTGTTGAAACTAATATGATCTGCTGCACTGGTAGAACACACACACACACACACACACACACACACACACACACACACACACACACAGGCACCCACACACAAACGAAACCCGTACGCAAGAGATAAGAGGAAAGGGCAACGCTGTCTTTCTCGTTTGACGAGCAATAAACACCACACCTTCTCTTCTCAAGGGAGACCTGAGGTATCAATACAGAGAAAGAGAAGAGGCAGGAATGAGTGAAGAACCGAGTGGGAAAGTGGAAGAAAGCAAGCCTTTCCTAGAATAACACCAGCTCTCCCAGGACCAGCCCAATTTACAACCACAAAACAACCCCCTTGTAGCCACAGAGGAACCTCTGGACAACCACTAAACAGCCCGTGGGATCAGCAGCGAGCCTTATTGGGCTGAAAAGATGAACAAGTTGTTGTTTTTTTTTAAATTTCATTTTGCTTGAAGACTCATGCACGAGCATAGCTATGCAAGTCGACACACGGCGAGCATACACACACACACACACACACGGGGGCATCAAATTACTGCTTTATTGTCAAGCACCTGGCCTGTAATGTTTCAAATGTCTAGAGCATTATGTAAAGATCACGCTACACTCCTTTGTCAGCCTACTTAAACAAGTCAGACTAATACAGATTAGGTTTGGGAGTGGGAGCCTGACTGTGGTTATAAAAATAATGTAGCAGAGGAGGAGAAAAGAGGATAAAAGGTTATTGAATACCTTGATTACTAGTCTTGATTGTAGTATAAGGACCAAGCGGCATGTCATAGGTCATTACAGCGTGGGATTGACAATAACTTACTCCTCATTTCGTTTATGTGCAAATTCATACACACGCATATCTATTACGTCCACACAAAAATGTGGGGGCAAACTGAGCCGGGCCTGTTGCCTGTCATTTGGAGGCAATAAGAGGAGAGCCACCACGGGTCAACTCCTGCCAGAGCTCAGATGAGAGACAGGGCCAGCCTTATGAGACTTCCTACAGCCACGGGGAAATGAATATTACACACAAGACATACAGAGACTTGCACAACCTCATTCTTAGTGAGTCCCCAAAGCCCAGCCCAAAGGCTCAGACTCCGTGTCATTAGAACAGCAGACGGGGAGAAAGTAAAGTCAGTGTGTGCATGTTCATCTACACAAACAGACTTTTGGAAATGATGAGACAAGGCAGCATTAAAAAAAAAAAAAAAAAAAAAAAAGTAATCGAGACACATTTTGAGTGCATCAGTCACATTAAAACACAAGACGGAGAGATCGGAGGCGGAGGGGGACAAGAACTAAGGGAATTAGTGAATAGAAGACAGTTCAAGGGTAAGAGTGAGAAGAATAGGGGAGAGAAAGAGGGTTGGAGGGGAGGAGAGTAAGAACAGAAGCCTTATGTCACTGCTGCTCTACTTTACAGTAGCTCTGCTGCCTGCAGGTGACATACAAGCATCATCAAATGCACATGAACAAACGAAACACATGCACACACAAACTGCCCTCCTCAACATCCTTAAGTAGTCAAATGTCGGCATCCTAAGTACTGTCACCTATCATTATGTCTTTTAACACCCACATGATGTGCACGCACAGACACACACATTATTGCTGATGGCACTGTGACAGCCCTGCCATATTAACACAGTCCTCTCTGATCCTCTGCCTGGTCACGCTGACATTTCCCACCGTCCATCAGTGAAGAGGGAAATGAATCAGAGAGGAAGAAGGAGAGGAAGTATGCTGGGAGGACGGAAGGATGAAAGGAGGAGACGAGAGACAGGCTGGGAATGCCAAAGTGATGGAGGATGAGAGCGGAGGAGGGGAGGCGAAGTGCAAGAAAAGTGGGGATGAAAGGGTGTGAAGAGAACGCGATGCCAGGAATAGAGAATGAAAGAGGGAGCGAAGAGAGAGTGTGGCGAGAGAAGAGGAGAGGAGGAGGAGGAGGATCTTAAAGGGGAGACAGTGTGAGCTATGAACAAGGTTAATAGGAGACAGCTGAGGGACAAAAAAAAAAAAAGCAGACGAAATAAGAAGAGAGAGGGGGTTAGCAGAGGGAAAGAGGCCATGGGAGATGCAGTGGGACCAACTAAAAATGGAGAGGTGGGGGCGCAGGTAACGAGAAACAGAGCGAGAAGAGGCAGACGAGGGGAGAAGAACGGGAGGCGTGGACCTGTGAGATGCCAGGTACACTCCACACCTGACCTTGTGAGAAGCACTGTGGATGTGAACAGAGAGCGAAAACTACAGTGAAACAGTATGAATAAACGAGCGGAAGAGGGGGGGGAGAGCGAGCACGAGCGAATAAAAGCCAAATCCTAATTTTCTCTGCAGCCCATTTGAGCCAGTCGTGGCTTATAAAACGAACATACGCTTATCAGCCTGTGTCCGCCTGCCTCGCTGCCTGGCTGGCTGACGCCTAATGGCATTCATGTCCTCCATGTCTGATCCTCACTATAGTGGAGAAAAGCAGAGCGTCAGAGGGGACGGGAGTGCAGGCCATCAACTAAAATATCCAATAGCCTTCAGAGCTCAGTGACGCTGTCATTTCATCAAACTAGGGGCTATGCCCTGTCAGGTGGGCTACAATGAAGCTTCCCCATTGTCCATGTTCCTGAAGATTGCTTCCCACTGGTCCACTGTGCATGTTTGTGCGTTTTTGTGGGAGACAGAGAATGTGGGTGGCTTTTCCTTTGGCCTTTCTAACACATTCCTGTCTCAGTAACCACTCTGGGATTTCATATTTCGTCAAGGCCTTTATGAATTTCTCCATTTCCATTATTCTCCCGTGGTTGTTATTGTTTTGCCCAGGCTTTCCACTCCTTCAGCATAATAGCTTTGATATGGGAAACAGGGAGCGTCATCACTTTTCTGTCCTGACAGAATCTGTCGCCGCATGCGCCTTCTCTGATTTGATTTTCCTTTTAAATACTTTCTCCCACTCCCCGTCGCAGGTAAACTGAAGATAGATCCACAGCCCTTTTCACAAATCAAGTTTGGGACATTTGCCACAGTTACCCTTTCTTACACTTCACTTCAAATATGTTTGCACCACTGAAAAGGGAGGGAGAGGTGACGGAGATGCCTGAAAAGAGTGTTTGGGAGCTAACGCACATCGCACCACATGATAAAGGTTTTATTCTAATTCTATATTAGGCAAGAACAACCAGTGTTAAAAGTCTAAAATTAACAGACTGTAATCCTCACTCTGGGGAAGAGACTGGGAATCACTTTTTTTTTCTCTTTTTCTTTTTTAAATCTATCTTGAATGTTACTTTCCTTACTTAAAAAACAAAAAAAGTATATGATAATGTATACGATTTATTAAAAGGAGACAAATCTCTTGCAAAAATATACAGAGCTACCCACTGTAGCGAACGCTTGTGACAAGCCGAAACTAGCTTTAGTGAAATAATAAATGTCAATGTTATTCTTTCAATGTATTTGCATTAGTGTCACTGCAGCTCAATTTGAGCCTTAAGACTACTACACACTGCTGTCCTTTTCCTTCTCTTAGTCTAAGTGCACCTCCTGAGTGCATTCAAGCAAGTGTTACACCAAACATAAGAGGGAGAAAGCAAGAGAGACGCTTTGATGAGTTCTTCTCATTGGTCATCTCAAGCGATCGGAGTTTTCAGTTGCGTCAAAGACGTGCCGAGAAAAGCTGCTGTTGTAACTGGATGAAAAGCCTCCAGACTGACCCTACATGCCATATTTGCTCACCTGGTGGCAAATTATCACCCTATCTGATCCAGCTTCTTAAGTCAGGATCAGACCAGTATCATATCCAATAAAGCAGCGGTCCCCAACCTTTTCCGGTTTATGCCCGACAATATTTTCACGGACCGGCCTTTAAGGTGTCGCGGATAAATACAACAAAATAAAACTAGCACCGGTACCGAAAAAAAGAAGATTTATTCATAACACATGTGAAAAGACCCAGGAAAACCGAGTTAACGCTAAAAACGATAACGAAATAACGCTGAAAAACGATAAAAACCATACATTTCACACCTGAGCCTCAACTCTCGCGGACCGGTACCAAACGACTCACGGACCAGTACCGGTCCGAGGCCCGGGGGTTGGGGACCGCTGCAATAAAGCAACCAGTGGATCCCTACAATAGACTGGACGTGTGTAAAAATGACTCACACTGCCACATTGTTTGACCACATTACTAAACAATATCCTTAAGAGGTTTGGGGCATTCAAACTTCCTGAAAAACAAGAAACTTAGCGGTTTACAAAATAGTTACGCACCATCCATCAGATCGTTTTGCCTCTTCATTGTTCAGAGAGCTGGGTTATATTTCTCAATGCAACAGCGTCTTCAAGTTTTTGCGCTGGCCTTGGCTTCTGAATGGGCGCGCTGCCAAATAGCAGCTTTCTGAAGTTGCTGATGTGTAATTTTGTTTTTTGAGACACTGGCACAGAAACACAGATTCAATTCTACATTTATTACTGAGGCTGTTTTGTACAGTGAAGTTTATAACATCAGGGCAGTGAGATTTGAGAGTGAGAAACTGTTACAATTAAGCTAATGACCAGATTCAAAGTGGCTTTCATGCATTTCATGCATGTGAGGTCGTGTACTATTTACCTTTGTTTTATACAGTAACATGGTTTTGATATGGGTTGATGTACATGTGTACACTATGAGCTTGAGCCTGGGGATGCAATGTGATAACAAACCATTTCATTTCTATTCCTCACCAGGAGCTCTCTCTCTCTTGGCTAAGATTCAGCCTCACAAAATCTTCCCTTTATTGTTTGAGATGAAAGACTGTAATATTTCAGTTTTTGTCACTGGGAACCAACTGTTCATCTTCTTCAAACTCTGTTTGAGTGGCAAAAACTCATAAGCAGAAACAGTCGAACGTGTATTAAAGCGGAGAGGTGCCATCTGACGTTTTAGCTAAAATGACCTGCCAGTGTAGCTGCCCTTAAAACTGATTTCTGTGTGGTGCTCCCATTGTTGTGTCCATAACAAAATGGCAACACTGCAGTGGATGTGTGTCATGTCCTAACTGCTTCTGGTCTGTTTTAATAGCTGTTATCAGCTGGAGCTTGGAACAGCACCAACCCAAACCTGCTGTCTGCCACTGCTGTCAGACATCACTGCCTTCTCTGCCTTATGGTCGAATAGTTAAATGAACGCGGCCACACATACAGCCACGCAAATCTACAATGAACGTCCACACGTTGCACACACACACACACACACGGGCACTTTGGTATGCAGGGAGCATTGTCTGGACGGCTTAGCTTTGACAGGCGAGGCAGTTTGACAAGCCAAGAATAAAACTAGGAAATGAAGACTTGAGATGTGTCTCGTCTTCTCATTGACCTTTCCACTGGGCTTACTATAAGGAGCCAATCGATAGCACATGAGAAAGCTACATTTAGAAGTAGCCACTGTGCATTATGGACATCTCCAATGACATACTAATATTCTATTCATGCTGCTTTTCCAGTGGGAAGTCCCGAGTCAAAGACGCCAGTGTTAAAAGAAAAGAAAAAGGAGGCACACTTCAAAGACTTTAAGGTTATCAGAAGAGATCGACATTTAAAAAAACTCCACTAACTTGTAAATTTAACACAGAAAAACATTTGGTGTTACAGCAAGGTTGCATGCCGGAGACAGGAGGTAAAACCAACCTCTGTGATGCAACAGGAGTAGGAAGAAGAAAAAAAAATAGGTGCAAGAAGAAGAGAGTACTAGATTTCACTTTGTTCACAGTGACATGATGAAATATTTGATAACTGACTCTGAACATTGACTGTGGAAAGAAAAAGGGGAATCAGACACACAGGCAGAAAGAGGAAGGAAAGCAGAAACACATGAAATGTAACAGAAGAGGAGAGAAGGAAAAAAAAAATAAAATGGGGGTTTGGAGGGAGGGACAGAGAGACACGAATAGGCTTCAAAGTGCCAAGGAGAAATGAACAGCTGGAGGAGAAATCTGCACCGGGAAGTAAGTAAGTGTGTGTGTGTGTGTGTGTGTGTGTGTGTGTGTGTGTGTGTGTGTGTGTGTTTAGTAAGAGAGTGCATACACACATGCATTTGTATACTGATGCATATTCCTATTTAGTTGCCTGTTTATAACAAACATGCCCTAGGACTTGAGCGAATATCATTTGCAAAAATAAGCATTTGCCAATTCAATTAAGTGTATCGTCTTAATGAAAGAGACCCAGCAGGGAAGTATAAAAACCGAAAAATAAATATATATATTTATACAATTTATACACTTTTAAAACTGCGTGCATTTTAGTTCAGAAACCCCAAACCTCCACATACACAGCTGGACCGTGACCTTAGTCTTGCCTTGAGACTGGTTTATGCACTATGCATGAGTTCAGGAGTAAGAGGAACTAGCAGTGTAGAAGTATTCACAGTGGGATCTCCAAACCATTAAACTGCACGGGCTTTAAAATGAAATTACATACACAATAGCTCATGCATGTATGTCTCTATGGACCCTTCTCTCCCTCTTTATCTCTCCCTTTCTCACACTCCTTCATCCTCCTTTCTCAGTTATGTACATAAAGAATGTTTCGGGTCAAGCGAGCTACGCCAGGAGAACCGGTTTGAAATACGAATCATGTGTGTCGGGATGAAATTGGAAAAACAGGAGTTAGTCATTAGAAATGATAGTGGAGGTATTTTTCGCTTTACTGCACCGTATCACACCTTGCAACAGGAGGATGAACCTTACACAACACATTGAAGCACTTAGCATCTGCCAAAGCGCCACATACAGGAAGCAGAAAAAAAGAAAGAGCTGTGTGGTTGTGGTGAGGAAAAGTCCCCCAAAAAAAACATTTCCATACACACAACTACTATGTAAAGCAAAACCATATTTAGACAGGCAGAAACAAAAACGCACATGAATGTGTGTACGCATACACGCAGGGTGGACAGGCACTCTTCCACAGGGTGAATAATTCATCCACGGTTAAGAACGAAAGCAGTGTGCTCTCCTCCGCCTCTCTTCATTATTGATAAATAAGAACATCTACACTGTACCTGACCCGGAGGGGGTGGGGGGTGATCCAGAGCGAGAGAAAAAGAGAGTGAGTGAGAGAGGTGGTCAAAGAGAGAATGACTCCGGGACACAAAGAAATAAAACGGCTGTATAAAGCAGAGGTGTATAAGGCATAAAACACAAAAAGGAAAATAGCAAAAGCCATAAGGCACAAGCTCGGTTTTATGGTACCACATGTTTTCATTTGGCGCTGGGCCTGTTTAGGGTCAGTAAAGTCTGGCTTGTAACAGGCAGTTTACTGTGGACAGAAAGGACAGTCCTCCTGAGCCAAACAAGCTGCTTCTATACTCCCTTGCGAGCGCTATTGCTTCAACTGAATAAGTGACTGAATAACTTACTGGCTGGATGGCTGACAGACACCCAGCTCCCCGCGGCTCCTGGCTCGGCTTTGTCTGTTCAGGCCGTGCACATCATTCTACCTCCACCACTCTTGCCTTCACTCTGCATTGCATCGCTCACTTTGTGTTTTTCCTCCCCATCCTTTTCTCAGTGCTATAGCACTGTCCTGTCTTTTCACTTTGGAATAAATCCTTTTCATCCCTCTGGCTCATTCTGCTCTTCCTCGCCTACTTTTTTTCCCCTATTCCGCCAGTTCTTTCTCTGTCTGACTTCTTCATCCCAACCCTGTGTGCCATCACTTCTCATGGTAATTGTAGTGGGCATGTTTTTTTTTTGTTTTTTTTATCCTGGCATGCAATACTGGGTCTTTGTGCTGGGTGACCACAGTGACAGATCTGCAGTCAGAGCCTGAGCATAAAATGTAAATCAGAGGAGTTGGGGAGGGGAGAATCACTTTTCAGACAGGTCTAGTATCAGTATCTAGGAAATATCTAGATCTAATCCCCATTATGTATGTTGCCGAAAAGTGAATGACTTTGGAAGCGTAAATCCAGACAGAGTATGGCAGCATCGCTTCAGAAACAGCCTGATCCTCTAATTCATGGGTAAGACAGAAGTGCACAGCTAAAACAAAGTGCTAGGTACTTCTTCAAATGTCCAAGGCAGGCTGTGCGTGTGTCACCTCATCCATCACCGTGTAGATGCCTGTATACATCGGTCCATGGGCATGTCAGCTGCAAACATAATGTGATTATGCCTCCTATTTTCACCTCCCTAACAACACTTGGAGGTGAGAGTCTTCCAAGGAGTCAGGAGAGGATATTTCAAGCTGGGTGTGATCCAGTCCCTGAATTATAAACAAAGCTACACGTTAACGCGCGAGGAAAACCATGACAACCCCGCCCACGCACCGAAGCACAGCTGTGTTTCCAGGTTTTTAGTTGCCAGCGTTCACCTTTACCTCCCCTTGGGTAGGATGGGGTGGGGGGGGTTCATTTCCCAGCTTCGCTTCCCACTTCCACTTAGCCTGCTACTGATGAGCCCATTGGTCAACAAAGCTGTCAGCCAACAGCTTATTCATAGTCGAGGGGGTGAGAGACCAACCTAATTTATGCCACACATTAAAGGATTAAAATGCAGTACTGTGATATGAGGGACTGCCATTAGCACAGTCAATCTGTCAGGAGGATCACTCGGCGTGTTACCAAATCAATGCCAGCCATATGGAAGACAGAAGGTCAAGCACCAGACGCAAACAAACAAGGGGGAGTGTACCAATATTATGATAATCTGATGACTGTGTCCATCATAACGCACAGCAAAAACCAGCTGGATTGAATTACTGATGGGAGTTTTGTGTAGGAGCACAGGAAAAAACAGTCTGCAGGGAAAGATTTGAGAGGACAGGAAAGTCAGGCTCCCAAATTTCTACACCCCCATATGCTTTTAAGTGTGTCTCCTCTTGCAAAAGTTTTGCTAAAAATCAGAGCAAAAGTTATATTTAATAAGCTTTGGACTCGCTTTACTACAAGACTGCAATGTGCCGCTCAAAGGTATGGATAACTGATTAGACCACTAGCACTTTTTCAAAGTGAAACGAGGACCCATTAAAAGCAGATTTTTTTTCCCCCTATAAAGATTAATCAGAGCTACAGTGTGGTGGGAACACTGCGACAATTAGTAAACATCAAGCACGAAAGATGTCGCAAAGCAGAACAAAACGATACGAGGAGAAGACAAAGATAACCAAAGCAATTAAAAGTACAACAAAGCCATTCTTTGTATGTTACTACTGCTGCATTGTATGGATCAGAGTTGCCGTCTTTCAGGGCTGTGGTGAGCCATCGGGGCAGAGGTGAACAGCCTATTGTCTTCAAGGCTCAATAGGAGGCAGGTAAGATGAAACACTGCACACAAATACATTCCTGCTATCAGTTTTCCCGTAAACGAGGGTGAGGGAGGTGTTAATGATGAGGAAAGGAATGAGACTGTAGCAGAAAGGAAAAGAGAAAGAAGTTTTGCTCTGTAAGATCTATAAAAAGGCACTCTGGAGCAAGAGAGTGATAAACAGGTGGGGATTTTTGATGAGGTTATATGCAGGGTTGTTTTCTGGCACTCCCTCCATCTCTTTCCTTTGTACTGAACGTTGAGATCAACTTTGCTTATTCTCCAGTCACTATGACAACTTGCCTTGAGTACACGGTGTATTGTTTTGACGCTGATAGATGAATGAATGAAGAGCTAATAGACAGAAAGACATAGAGCTCAAGGAGACGGATCAAACGGGAGGGGGGGGAGACATAACCTGATATTTCTCCTCGAGTCAGTCTGTTAAATAAAATTAAACAAAATCCACTGAGAAGCTGTGGCTGGCTGGAAGCGAGCAAACACACGAGGTTAAAAAATATATATAAAAAGTGGGTACTTTGAGTAAAGTCGGGAACTATAAAATTCAGCAAAAATAAATGAATAAAACTAGGACCTTCCACTAAAAAGACAAAACATGCATGCGATTCAAATAGCACACTCATGACGCAGTTAAAGCTTTGAAATAAATAAAGTAGCAACATCCTGATTCCTCTTGACCCTTTTTTGTCACAAAGTAATCTAATAAAGCAATAAACACATAAAAAAGGTCCAAAGTAGCGTAAAGTGACCAACTACCAGCACTTAGTAACAAGTGTGTTATAACACCCATCCTTAATTGCTTTTTCAGCAATTACTTGACTAATGAATTTAACGGGTCTTAACCTATTACATTCATCCATCCATTCGCGTCCGCTTATCCTGTTCAGGGTCGCGGGGGGCGCTGGAGCCTATCCCAGCTGTCATAGGGCGAGAGGCGGGGTACACCCTGGACAGGTCGCCAGTCTGTCGCAGGGCCAACACACAGAGACAGACAACCATTCGCACTCACATTCACACCTATGGGCAATTTGGATTAACCAATTAACCTATCCCCACTAACCTATTACATTCATTCCATGTAAAATGATTTGCTTTGGAAAACTTAGTTTCATTCTTACTAGGCCCCAACAATGAACCAATACCTTTAAAATGGGAGTATTTGCTGCACGTCCCAGTTTTATGAGAACATCACTTGGGTATTTTGGTATTTTAGACTCACCAAAAATGCATTGCCCTTAGGAAATTTTGCTGAGTTTTTCCCCCGAAATGCAAATATACATTCTAAAAAAAGATCAGATTGTTACCAATAACAAAAATAGCCATCGTTTCCACCCTTAAAACACATTATTACCATTACGACATAATTCTTCAATGAACCGTGAACAAGATCATATCTATTCCCCAGTGTAAGCTAAGGCAACAGCACAGTAACTCAGAAACTCACAAGATTACAGCTCCAGCACCTGTGAGGTCACTGCCACTCAAAACAAAACCTCCGCTGCCTGTCAGTCAAACAATTTCAAAGAACGCAACGAGGAAGCGATGAGTTAATTAATTACTATCTATTTTAAAAAAATAAATAAATACAGCTCTATATTGAGAGCAGAACTCAGCAGCCGAGCTAGATTTTAGTAGTGAGGATAAACACCTTTTACCCGTCTGAGAGGTGAACACCAGAGGATCAAGTTTCCCCTCAATAACAGTGTGAACCCTGGTTTTAGCCTGTAATGGCTCAGCAGTCACAATGATGCTACAATTGATCTGACTCTCAGAAGATTGAAGCCACTTCTCAGAGACCGTAAAGAGGAGCACAATAACAAACACACACACAGACACACTGGTGCAGGCACAGCAGCCAACACACGAGCTGCCGGAGCAGTCTCCTGTCAGGTCGTCATTACATTGGATGTGAGCTGCCTTTGTTTACCATCCACCCCCTTAAGGCAGAGTGACAGATAGAGGATTGGGATGTGAGGAGTAGATAGATGGGGGTATGAACAGTCAGAGATGTCCCTGCCATGCTTCAAGGACAAGACGGGCCCTTCAATATCACAGCCACTGTGTAATTAGACAGTGCTCTGTCATGCACCAAAGAGTTTCTTTTATTTGTGTCATATTAAGCGCAGCATGGGTATCCCTTACTGTGCTTTGCCATTGAGACCTAACGTAAAAAAGGGCAGCAAAGGGGGATTTGTACAAATTTAATTACATTCATAATTCGCCCATCTTTAGCTGTAATCACTCGGGGTTAAGTTAAGTAAATCCCCTTCTCAGCTAGCCACCCACACCCTCTGTTGCCTTAATAAGCGGCGTACTGCCTGGCTTTTCAGGGGAATTTTACTGGCAGCCTGAAACTCGCTAAGAGAAAGTAAACAAAGTTCTTGGTATGCAGTAGTGAAATATTAACAGATATACTCTTTCGACTGAAGTGTTGTGAGCTTTGGTTTGGAGTACTGCGGCTCACATGTTTGTGCGTATGTGGCTGTCTGCCAGTGTATGATACTGTGTCTCAGAGGCCACCTGCAGTGTCTCCGAAAGGCAGGGAAAGGAGAGGGGGGGAGAAAAAAGCGGCGCTGTGTACATCTTTGTGTGTCTGTTTTTGAGTGTTTGTTTGGCGCACCTCGCAGCCAAATCGCGGCGCAGGCAGGCAGGCAGGCAGCCCTTCGACAGGGAGGGAGAGGAGTGAAGCAGATCAAACACAAGCCAACTAATCACAGACGCTGGCTAATTAGCGCAGTCCTCAAAGGGGAACCAGGAATGAGTGATGATTCCCCCTTATGAATTTCCCAATGACGCTGTGCCGTATGCCACCATGAATACTCACGGTCACAGAGAAGGCAGAGCAGAGAGGCTAAAGTGCAAACAGAAACACCTCTGGCCTTGTTGTAATCTTATCATCTGAGAGCGAGGGGGAAAAGTGGCGCTCAATATCTTTTATCAGAGTTTCAGTCGAGCACACAACACACACACATACCTCCTTACTGTCACAAGCTTTCTCTCTCTCACACACACACACAGCAACATTTTATCTCAACATCCTCAAATTAGGCTTCATGTAACGTTTCCCATTAAGGGATTTCTGGAGCGATTAAATCCCAAGCGTGGTGACATTCCAGCCTCTGGAGTAAAGCACAGGTTGACGTTCCTGTGCGCAAGCTCTGAGCGTTGATTAGCTGGTGGATCTGCCACACTGAGCCCAGATTTCCACAAGATCAGAGGCAGCCAATTACAGATGTGACACGCACGTATTTGCACACACTCCCGAACGCGCCCTGCCACACCGATGCAACCACACGCCCATCCAGAAACAGATTTCTCCAGGCTTAAGTCATCACAGTGGCAAGAACTCCCCTCTTGCTTCTTCTCTAATATCGGATGAGAGGGTCCCTGTCAGAGGATGCTCAGTTCACCAGCCAACCCCTTACTGAGGCAGAGGCAAAGAGACAGAGATAACAGATGAACACAGAGAGAGCTAATAAAGATTCTAATAAGTCTATCCAAAGAAGCACAGGCCACTGAGGGGACTCAGCCTAAATAAAACCCACTCCATCACTCTTCAAGTGTCCAAGTCCCATTTTTATCTCTATACATCTTAAGCTAAACATAGAATTCTAATTCCAGCGCTGAGCCTGACTTTGAACAGCACAATGTCGCTGGCGAAATGAAAAACAGAAACAAACCTTCGCCATTCACATTTCTCTCATTTCCACAGATTTATAGAGGAAACAATACTCTCCCCTCTACCCTCTGCAGAGCTGCCATCAATGGCCAACATTTGTTTCACATGATTACAGTGCGACAGTTGGCATTCATGTGGCAGACAAATACGCAGATTCCAGACTTATTGTTATGACATTAAATCCTTACGTGCTTTGAACATTAACAGCCGCATCAAGGAAGGCTGGAAAGTGAAGCAAATTGGAAAGGCTGGTCAGAGAAGACGAGGGGAGGAAAAAACAAAAAAAGACATCTGAAAGCAAAATTAAACTCGCCAATTTACGCTTGAGCAACGTCGGAACAAAAAGACACGTAGATAAATAGGAACATAAGAGACACTGGAGGGGGAGACAGAGAGATGTGAGTGTGGGGAGATAAGAGGGAAGAGAGGAGGTGTGTGGGGTAGGGAGGGTACTGCAGAGCAAAGAAACAGCTGCCGAGCATCACATCTGCTCCAAGTGGAGTCATCAGCAAACAGACAGACTGGAACCAACCCACTGAGGTAAGCCCCAGGGGGGAGGCGAGGGATGGACACAGGAAGAGTGCGGGGGGAGCGGGTGGGTGTTGATATGGCCAAGCAACAAGAGGATGAGAAGGATGCGAAGGATACAATTAAAGAGAGGGAGGGTGGAAGAAGATGAAACTAGGATGACTGTGCGCAGAAGCTGAGCACGCTTTACTCTTTCCCCAGACAGAAGAAGGTGGGGCAGGTCGGTAGATGGCTTTGCATGGAACAGGAAACTCGAATCACTTGCTGTCTTTTTCCTTCTCCTTCTTCACCCACCCTTCTCACTCCTTCCCTGACATCCTTCCTCTGTCTCCCTCCCTCTCTCCCCCTCGCCTTCTTTCTCTTCAGCAAGACTGACAGAACAAGAGATGCCTGTGAGAGTAAAGATGAAAGGCCTGTGAGGGAGGTGTATGTGTGTGCGTGTGCACGAGGTGAATGAATGACCCCTCTATCCCTCATCCCCACTTTAGAGCCATCCTGCCCTTACACTAAAGAAAAAAAAAAAAGAAAAGAAATACATATAACGCCACAGGGGCCATGTGGAGGTCACACCAGACCGTGTTTGCATTGTGTGTGTTTGCGTGCGCTTCACTTCTCTATTTGTACTCACACCATGTTCCAACGTTAGAAAATGAGACACATCAAACATCGCTCTAACAAGGCTGCCACAGCAGGAATACCATCTTATGCCTAGCTTCGTGTCCTGTAGTGTACACCTACGGCCTGTGGAGAAGCACCCTGAGGAGAGGTAGGGACCCTGAGAAGTGCACATTGTTCATTCATGATAGCAGCCACTGGCAGCGAGGGCAACCCCGTAGCAGAGTAAGCGATGTCATTTGGCAGCAAATGAAGGGGAAAGAGCAAAGCCGTTTCTGCATCTCTCTGAGGTCTCACAGCTAGCTCTAACATTAAGTTAGCCTGGGCGCGGGACAAAGCCCAGTTTGTGTTCACGTCTCCGCATGGCGAAATAAACATAGCTGCTGCTTCACAGTTTCCTTTAGCTCGCCTTCTCCTTTCCTCTTATCTTGCCCTGTTTCGTTGTCACCCCCGCTGCCTAAAAGAACAATCTACCCACACAGCATGCCCTTCCAAAATATTTACTCACTCAGTACTGGCTGAATACAAAGGCCATTCTCTTACCCCCTCTTAGGTCTACCATTCAAACAAACTATGCATCCACATGAAATTGCAGACTGCACCTGCTCTTATTCTCACTTTCCCCTCTCTCTAGATCGTGCACGCCCGCACACATTTGTTTACTGCAGAACATCCTCCTTTGCTTTCCTTTCCATGTCTAACTGGTTTGTGCCTTAGACTGATCTTTAAGTTGCAAAAGAAAACCAAGCACAGAAGCAACAGTAGCCATCCCACCTTGCCTGGAGCAGGGAGTGCGTTTCTGCCGCTCGCATCCTCACAAGCACCCCTCTGATTCAATACCCCTGACACTTTCTTAACACCTTTTCCTTTGCAGCTTGTGCCCTTCTTTCCTCTTCCACCACTCCTCTCTTATCTCAATCTGTCACCTTACGTTCTCCCCTCAGCCCCCATTTCTCATTGCATCCTCTCTGCAAACCAATTTTCAAAGCAGCTTTTCCAGCTAATCCAACGTTTTCTGTTTTTAGCATGCAAACCCAAATATAAGTTCATTAACAATCAAGTGCTGAAATCAGCTGCAGTGTTGCAAAGCTCTGGCTTTTCCTGGCTTCCCATTCATTAGCATATGTTTGAAAACCCAAGTCTAAATGAAATGATCAGAGTCGATGAACTACAAACAAAGACCCAGAATTAATTCTGTGTGGCGGCTGCATGTCATGCTTGTTTTTAATTTCTTGCACTTATAATTTTTTAACTAGGCGCTTAAAAAATAGATGCAAATGAACGGAGAGTCAGAAGAAGCCTGGGCGCCCTGAGTAACGACACGTCCCCGGGGTGTCTACTGTTTTCGGGCGATTGTTCGCATACTCCTGTGGGGGATGCGCATGCTAATAAGTAATAATGTTCCATCAAAGTGAAATGCTGCATTGAGTCTTCCGTCTTGCAGCTCTACAGCATCCTTGACTTACACGCAGCCTTCCCATCCTCCTCGCTGTTAAGGGATATGGTTCCATGCGCTGCACCTGTGTCTCATTACAGCCACTGATGGTTCAGTAACAGGCTCCTCTCTTTCGCTCACCATTGTGCTCTCACTCTTTCCCTCCCTTTAGCTACTGCCAACATACATTTACCTCCAACAGCATGGCCTGCACTCATCTCTTCCCCTTGCTCATCCGAGTGCGTGCTTTCGCATGATCTCTGCAGCCCCATTTGTCCTGTCGCTTCTACCATTACAGTCTTGGCACGGATGGGGTTTTTTGCCAACTGTTAAGCAATCTAATGATTTTTTTTTTTTTTTGCTACACTGATCAATTCCTTCAATTTTACCTCTAAGCACCCTTTTACTCGAAGAGGACATTTACAGTTTTCAGCATGCAAGCTCCTGTCAGCATTATTGTGATTTAACTTTGCAGTGCTCATATTTTCACTGTAAGAACAATTCCAATGCTGCAACTAATAATTACCATTTCATCTACCGATTAAGCTCCGTTAACAATCAGGACTCACTAATCAAAGAATGAAATATCAGCAAATCTCCACCATTCTTATGTTGAAAATAGAAAATGTTTCGCATTTGTCCTCCAAATCATTTTATCAGGACATTCCAGATAAACACGTACTCTGTCTTTATTTGTTGAAAATAAACAGAAAAATCTAAACACCACTAATCCTGCTGTATGAAAAGGTTTTGTGATTGTGCCCCTAAGGCTTAGTTTTAACTTTACCTGTCAACCGCAATTGTTCCCAAACTGAATCTGGCTTTTCCAGATGTTGCTTTGCAAAGTTTGGATGGTGACTTTTGGGATGAGGTTGCAGGTAAGGTTTCCTTATAATGACTCTTCACGTAGAACCTGTTTGTGCTGCTCAGTGTAACTGTGCACCCGCCACTGCTGCGTCAGCCAAGTCGTCCTACAGCTCCTTTGAAGTCATTCGGAGGATTTTCCTCTGCCTTTTAGCCCAGCCGGAGCGCAATTTTATCTGAAATTGTTCTTAGCCATTCACCATTCCCTTTTACTGCCATTTAATAATGACATTTCAGAAGGTGGAAAGCTAGAAGTGTTTTGATATCTTTTTATAGCCTTCCCCTGCTTTGAAAGCATCAATCAGCTTCATTTTCAGATCAGTCAGCTCAGAGGAGGCCATGGTCGTTGAGTGTTAACAAACGGTTTGAAGAGTCAAGAAAATTTATCATGCTCTGGAATTATCATTAGCTCCTCCCTAATGAGTCACTTAAAGGCTAATGCTTTGGCTACATGAACCCACAGGATGTGTGGACTGTTTGTGTCAGGGTGTGCCACAGTAGGTTTTGTTTTATTCTTATTTTTTGTACTCGCTGCACCTGCAGTGCTTGTTCAGCGTAAGGCTGTGTGACTCATAGGTTAAAAAAAAATTTTTTTAAATTAAAAAACTTTCAGATCGTGTTGCATTTTCAGGATTTTGGATCCAAAAACTTTGCAGAAAATCTTTTTAACAGACTACAGGAGATGATATAGGGGATAACGTTCCTAAGAAAGTGCCAGCTGGTACTGGCAAAACAAACGCAGACGCTAAAGTCGCTTAATGTATAGCGACAATTTCATTTAGCAAAGAAATAAAGAAATCAGTGCTTTATGACCCATTTCTGTGTAAAAGGACTGGACACACACACACACACAGGAAGATTGGGTGCTCTGAGAACATAAAAGTAGACCAGAGTAGCCCGTTTTATTGATTATAGCGGGAGCATAGTGTTGCAGCATCTGCTCTGCAAACCGCATATGTTACGTGTTGTGTAGCCACAGGCTAATGAGCTAATTAAGTTCACAGACTTTAAGTAGAACTTTAAGTAGAACGGTGCCTGAAGTTGTGCACTTGCACTCATACAGTTAAAAAAAATAAATAAATAAATGTTTTTAAGCTCATCAAATTAGAAGAAAGAAAAATTTTACAGCCTGCCATCTGTTCATGGTGTGTCTTTTTACTAGAAATAAAAAAAAAGAAAGAAAAAAAAAAAACAATACCTTAAGTTAAAGTTCACTTTGACTGTTTATCACCTTTATATCACGGCTGTAATATTTCAGGCTACAAGTCTTACTGTGCTAACCTGTTATAAACTGTGAAACAACAGGCAGCCACACAGCTGGATTTCAACTCCAGTCTCTCCATTGTAACTGCAACTTCATGTACAGTAACGGTGCAGAAAACAATGAAATAAAAGCTTTGTGTTCATAGCTGTTTATGAAGAGCGTCTTCATTTTCCCCCAATAAAAATCCTCAGAAATGATGAAAAAAAATCCATAATTAAAGAGATAATATATAACATAGTGAGCAATACTAAAAAAAAAAAAAAAAAAAAAAAAAAAATTATATGTAATCCAACCATTATATGACATTAAAATCAATCCCTGTCCCACAGAAATCAAGTCTAACATTCAATACAATCAGTCTGGCACGACTATCATATCACAGTCAATAAGGTATTATTTTAAGACCAATTAACCCCAGAGTCAGAATTTAAAACTACAGTGCATTTATTATTCGTGACATATTAATGTAATACTGTGTTATGAGTCCACTATGAGTCTTAAAACCAGATACTGGGCCAAAAAGACAGTAACATTAGCTTTGATGGCTCCTGAGATAACTGCCTCTACACTGATGGTTTCAAGATGAGTAGAGGGGACTGAGTGGCTGTGAGCATTAGAAGACCGTGGACAGACTCCCTCCTACGCTGCACATATTAATTCTTCTAATGGCTCAGCTTGTCACACGTTGACACTGCATAATTATGTCATCTACAAGGGACGAGCTTTTTAAAAGGGCAGACGCACAGTGCAGCTGAGAGCCTTTGTCAATGGAGATGTTCAAAAATGCTAATATGAGTCTTAAAAAATGGTTTACTTTTAGCTGGTGAGGCCCTTAAGTCCACAATATTGTAATCATGTTAGATCTACTGATACTGAACGGATACCAGGATGAGCAGCCCAGGTTGTCTTAATATAGATGCCAAGTCTTCCATGGAAGGACTTTTACAATAACGAACCAGCCAATTCTGTAAGTATTATCCTGAGTGACAAGAGCGTCCATCAAACCCAGAGGATCCTCTCACCCATGGCCTCTCGTCATCCATCAATCCATCCTGACAGCCCTACCTCCATCTATGTAAATAAACAACAGAGAGGGAGGAGGAGCTGGGGGAAGAGCTGAGGAAATCAAAGTAGGACAGTCAAAGTAGAGGCAAGCAGGCCAAGTTAGGTTTAGAGAATGTAAAGGAAAGGAGACATGCGGGAGGGAGGGTTAGATAGCGAACAGCTGTAAAATGAAGAGAAGTGAGGAAACTGTAAGGAGGCAGGAAGCAAACACAATTGACTGAGGTGATGAGGAAGGGAGAGAGGACAAAGTCATCAGGAAGGAATGAGGAGGAGAGATAAACTGGAAGGAGGAGGGGGGGGACTGACTGACACAGGGACGACAGCCAAATCAGCGGACACACAAGATGGAGTCACGGAAAAGAATGCGAAGACGGGCGAGAGCGGAGGGAGGCACAGAGGAAAAACATCAATGGAGGACATTAATAATCCATCCCAGATAAAGCAATTCTGTGTAAAAAGAAAGGAATTCACTGGAGAAGGAGACTGTGGAGGAAAAGGAGACAAACAAAAGAACAAGAGAAAGTTAGTAGGAGGAGCCTGAGGGTCTCCTATTAAAAAACAAGAACAATTGCGAACACTTGTGTTAGTTTACACAAGCAGAGGAACCTTTCCTCACCTCGCCCCCCCATCTTCCCGAGGCTGTGTCTATTTAAATGTGTGCTTAAATGGCGAGTGCTACTGCTCTAATCGCGGCTGGCATCACAGCACAATCCTTCTCTACCTTTCCCCCCCAGCATTCAGTCTTCTTCTGTCGCTCAGACCCAGCACACCCTCCTCACACGCACACGCGCGCACACACACACGTACACCGCATGACTCTGCTGTGCCAGAGGAAAAAAAAATAAATTCATGAATCACTGGTGAACAAATCAGCCGCAAGCTTGTTGCAAGAAGAGCAAACTGGGAAGAAGCGAGAAGGGAAAAAAAAGGACAGAAATAAACGGAGAAAGTGTTTCCTTTAAAAGCTTCTAAAAAGGAAGACTATTCAGGAGATGGCTTCCAGCATCCTGAGGGAGCAAGCACACACCCAGAGGACCCCGGTGACGAGAAGAGAAGATACCCCCTCGCCTCCCCACCCCTATCCGGCTCTTCCTAAAGAGGCCAAGACAGAAAGCCAAAGCAGCAAGTGGCCAAGTAACAAGCAAGTGCATGATACATGGATGGCACAAACATGTGTTTGCACATAGCAAACATCCAACTTTCTGTATGAAAAGCGCACCAACACCTTACGTACAAAGAAAACTTGTTAAAAGGCACCACAGTGCTCCATCCACACAACAAAAAAGCCCCTCCGTCAGCTTCCATTTCAAGAGAAACTATGCAATCATCTCTTGTTACAGAGCCACTTTCCCTCTAGGGCCACTACTGAAAAGCAGCTCTGTCCATTGATACAGGTGTGGTGTGGAGGGAGAAAGTGAAGAGAAGGGGAAGGGGGACAATGGATGGCCTTTTCAATGATCTCCCTCAGTTCACCTGGATTAGAAGGAATGGAGGCTGAAAGGAAGGAGGAGGAGGGTCTCTAAGCTTGGCTAAGAACAATGCTGTCTCTGTTTGCAGTAACACCGAGTGCATCACTTTGTCTAGCATCAGCCAGCCGACTGCCTGGACTAAAAACCATCATCCCGGGGTTCAATGTTGAACTGTTTTTGTGCAAACGCACGCTTAAGAAGCACTTAAAATGTTGTCAAACAAGACTCCTGACCCAAGATGTTTCCATTATTTGAAAGCAGGAAACACAAATGTGAATATACTGCTCCGACAACACTGAGTTCTTCACTATATTTATCTATTGTTAATTACAGACACGGATTTTTGTCCAGTGATCATTTTCCTAGATTTTTTAAAATGTCCAAACATAATGGGAAAAATAATATGGTGACATCTTCATAACCTGTTTTGCCTCATCAACAGTCCAAACCCAACAATATTTCGTTTAGGAAAATGACAACAAAATTACTAACGAGAGACCAATAAAACATCGGTCTTGAAAAGCACCTCATTCACAATTTAAAGTAGCTGCGTGAAAAGTGTGTGAAACTGACGAGATCCTATGAAATAAACTGTGGTGCATTTTCACTTTACCTGAAAAATCTTTAAACATTACAATTTTCACCACACCAGTATTAACCCCCACAGCTGCACACAGTATCGTGTCATTACTTGCACACATTATGAAGCCCTTTCTTTCTATATTTGCACAAATGCGTCACGTAGCAACACCAAAAGCTTTTTTAAAAATAGATAAACAGGTATCCAAAATTGTGTTTTGCCACAATCTTGACTTGCATATCTAGTAGGTAGTAGCTTAGCTAAAGTGGTGAAGAAATCCCATTGCTCTGCCATTGCTGGCAGTTAATCCTCCTACTATGTCTGTGTTTACATTTATGCACAGATCTGCTGCTCTTTTATGGCATCTGCTCTCTTTAACGCCCTATCACGCATCTAGAAGTAATTAATAAGAGCTTAACAGCGGTAATGGTAGCAGGAGCAGCAACAGTGGAAGCGGGGGTAGGGGGGGCTGTCATGACAAAGAAAAGTTCAAGACCAACGACGTCACACGCCACGGTCACTGTGTGGATCCTTTTATGCTACATTTCCATTTCGATGCCGCGAAGGTTCAGCACATCTTAGTCTTTTTTAGTAAAAAGTTTTAAATGTGTGAATAAAATGAAAGCGTTCACGGTAAATAAGCAGCAAGATGTACTGGGGAAAACAAATGAACCGGATTGTTTTTTATTTTAAAATATTCAGAGTGTTTCGCTTCTCCCACACATACAAAAAAAAAAT